GCACTCTATCTATATCATCAAATATGTTTGTTAGTAATATCATCAAATTACTCCCAAAGTAGTCCTGCCCCACAACCGTGGTGATGACTACATAATATTTTATGATGACTCATCACTGAACCACCACCTGAGTCTCTCAAATCTGAGACCCTCAGGCCCTATTACATGGGTGAACCTAGGTCTGGGCCCTTCCCAGCCTCTGCTTATGGGTGACCCTAAACCTGACCCTTCCCAAGTCTCAGGCTTAGGTTATTCAGGTCCCAGGCCTAGGCTAGCCACCAAACCCCCCCACTAACACCCCCTAGGGTTCCACCCACAGTCAATCACAATATATATATATATATATATATATAAACGCTATTCTCCGCGTGATCATCGTGACATACCCTTGGCGCGGCATTTCGCGCCAAAACGAGCTGCTGTAGTAGTTGACTAAGTTCTCATTGGCGGGCATATCGAACCTATCAATGACGTGGGCAACGGTAAGAGTGGTATGAATACATGTGATAACTGAAATAGGCAAACAACAGAATGATACAAACATGAGTGTTACTTTATTAAAAGCAAACAATAGAGTGGTGTGGCGATGGGTGATAATGAAATATAAGCAAACAAATTAGTGGTGTGACTATAACAATGATAACAACGGAGTAGCCATATACATCGCCTAGATGTTAACAAAGCCACCATGGGGCGCATTGACAGAAATAGCAATACCCTAAACCCTAAAAACAACCACACATATGTGTAACCGTACTAAAGAAATACAAACACCCAGGGGAGAAGAATTTTTGGGCTTATAAAACATCAAAACTATATCCAATGCCAGAGCCGACCATTCATCAGTTGCTAAGAAACACTAAAACTGTAAAACCCTAAACCCTAAAACGCTTACCGGCGATGGAACACTCGGCTGGCTTGGTTGAATTTCCCAGTGGTCTCATCCTCTGTTGACTCCACTACCATGCTCTCGATTTTAGTGCGTACATACTGACGTGCCTGTGCTTGCAGCTCGATGTGTTCGAGAACCTGTGTGTAGTACAGGATCAGTTTGTGAGTGTTCTAGGGTTTAGGGAATAGGGTTTAGAGTCATATATCTGTAAGGGCGAATGTGTGTTCAAGTACACGGTCGTATTACTGTGTATGTTTAGATATATATATATATATATATATAATATATATATATATATATATATAATAATATATATAATATATATATATATATATATATATATATATATATATATATATATATATATATATATATATATATATATATATATATATATATATATATAGTACGTACG